TATATATATATATATATATATATATATATATATATATATATATATATATATATAAAGATAATATAGTAACATGAAACATCTCCACAGCTCCTCAGACCATCTACACGACTTCAAGCGGCCCTCCGACCCGTGGTGTTGCAGAAACTCCTTCGGTGGTAAGTTTCACATCTTTCATGAAACCGTCCGATACTGATCCGGACGATCAAACGGTATCGGTACGAGTTTTATGTTTTCCTGGAGTCCATCGATGAAGTGCGCCGCAGTTGCGGAGAGCATTTCATTCGGGACTTAGAAAGGCTTGAAACTTAGATTATTAGCACAAAGAAGATATTTTGCCTGGGTTATGTGCTGCTTTCCAAACTGCAGACAGTTCAATGTGTTTGTGAATAGCTATTTTGTATGAAACTGTCCGACGAAAGAATATTCAAGAAGGATCTGGGTTCGACTCACTTGAGTAGGCCCTAAAGTTATGCTCTTGGAAAAGGCACTTAACCGTTCCTCGCTAGACTCAGGTAAAAATGATTACCATTAACGCTTGTGTTTTATATGAACATCGTGACAGGTGCCCACGCAGGTAAAGGAGACGGCTAGACAGCCCAAGAAGTCGCGGAAGCCTCCTGTAGACCCCAGGACACCCCTCCGCAGGATGCCGTATCAACTGATGAAAAAGATCGCCATGGAACTGGACCCGCTGGGACCGCTGGCGAACTGGAAGGACCTGGCCGACTGTGCTGGCTATAGTATGCAGGAGATAGGGTAGGTATGGTGTAGCCTTGTCGTATCCACTTTTCCTATCTAGTCCTATGCCTGAATGGGTTAGGGTTAGGATCAGGTACGGTTCTGGATGGTCTCTACTATCCAGAACCGTGCAAGGTTTTTTTTTTCATTTTTCAGTTTGTAATGAAGTCTTGTTTGTTGATTGTAGGGTGTTTGGCATGGAGTAACTGAGACCAGACGGCAGCCCGACACGAGCGTAATTGGACCATCCAGAACCGAGCTTGATCCTAGATGTTGTTCTATATGTACAATGCAAGGGTTGTCACTAATCAACTTGTCTTTTTTGTTGCTTGTAGGGTGTTTGACATGGAGTACCAGAGAAAAGACGGCAGCCCGACCCGCGCGCATGGTCTATCAAGAACCGTGCTTGATCCTGGATGTTGTTCTATGTGTATGTACAATACAAAAAAGGCTGTTATTTGTCAATTTGTAACGGAGTCCTGTCTGTTGTAGGGTGTTTGGCATGGAGTACATGAAACCTGACGGGAGCCCGACCCGCGCGCTGCTACAGGCCTGGGGAACGCGGAACGCGACTGTTCAGGACCTGCTGAACGCGCTGAGGCAAACCGAACTCCTCAACGTCGCCGAGATGCTCGCTCCAGGTAAGTTACCTGACAGGTAAACCTTTAGCAACGCGTCTGTGGGGTCGTTTGGAGTAGCGGTAGAGTGCTAGATTCGGAACCAAGCGGTCCCGGGTTCGAGTCCTGACATGCCACCGACCTTGTGCCCTTGGGAAAGGCACTTTACACAACTTTCCTCACTTCGCCCAGGTAAAAATGACTATTGTATTGTCCCCTGTGTTGGTGGCGGCATTAATATAAGTTGAAAAAAAACTTGAGTGTGCCGTCATCACGTCTTGTGATTACATGTTGAAAGTTATATTCACGCGTCTTTAGAAGACATGCAGGCTGATAGAAAATATATCTGAATCTTTTTCCTTACTTCATGGTCTAAGGACCATGTAGTTTCATCTATTAGTATTACTACGGAGTCAAACTTTCTGCACAATATGCATTTTGTGCAGTCTGATGGTAATGATTAAAGATGGTGTATTTCCATGCCAATGTCAATGACATCAAACTTTCATCTGATTATTTTCAGACGATTCTGATGACGAGGACGTGTGAATGGGGAATCTCTCCTTTCAAATGACTGTCCAAACCGGCGTCGCGAAGTGCCTTACGTTTAACAAGACAGCTGCACAGTTATATATACATAGGCATTCTGTGTATCAGCTTTTAACTGACCGAAATGTTATGATAGTAATACGCCGAATGGTGGTTATACCGGCTATATTGATACAGATACAGGAAACAATATGTGAAATATTTTTTACAGTTGTATCATTCATACTTATCAAGTTTAACTCTTTTTTTATATAAAGTAATGAGTGTATGTTTGCAAAGCAACAAAATAGTATGTGTATCTAGAATACACGTGTGACGGTGTGTAGTGCGAAATGCTTTCGTTAGGATAAAGCAGTTTGGATGGCATTTCTAAAAACATGGACTTCTGGTCAACGTTTATAGGATATGAATTTTTCTGTATTACATTAACACATATAAATCATGCGGGAAAATGAAGTTTGTATCTCTCTTTGTTGTACTGCATCTACATTCTGCTACAAAAAACTTCCCTAGTCTTCTTCTAGAAACCTAACTTTATCTGCAATGAATGATCTAGAAGTCATCGTAGGGCGTTTACGATTTTAATGCTTAAATTTACGAGCAGGTTGTGACCAACTAGCAACAAAGATCTTTGAGAGCATTTTTAATATACGCAACAACTTTACGACAAATTTACGACATACGCACCACCACAAAACGGACGCGAGAGGGTTCGGAAGCAGCAGTTTGTGTACACGTCTCGATGACCATTATATGTAGCAAAGTCTTCCTAGTAAAATCGCAAAAACAGACAGTAAAGGTATTTCTTTTACAATGGCAAACTACCTTGGCTGTAAAGTCTTTATTGCCCATGTGATTTACACAATGACCTAGAGATTCTAGAGCACTACATGTACCTACATAACCACAATGGTTAACCCCCTGCCCTAGCCCCCATTTCATAAATACAATGGTTTACCCCTGCCTTACACCTGTCGGATCCATGGTTGTGCTTCTGACGCTCAGGTCATCTTTAGTCACACCTGAGCTGGAGGGGAGCCAAACGTCCGTCAGGTCGTTCAGTGTCAGGTGTCACCCGAGCCATTCAGGTGACCAAGGTGTGACGCAGGTGCCTAAGTTTACTTCCTCCAAGATGGCGAGTGTGTTACTGCTCGCTGCCTTCCTTCTGTGCAGCAGTTTCCCTGTCGGCGCCCAGGACACCAGGACCTACTGTCCCGGGTCCTGCCTGCGGGAGCATGTAGACAAGGGCTGCTGTGCCTACACCTATGTGGTTCCGCCCGGGTCCCGTACAGGGGGCTGTTCACCACCGGTCCAGTTTGCCGAGACCAAGGAGGAAACGGGCCTCATGAAAAATATGGATCGTCTTTTGTCTCTGGTGGAAACCTTACTGAGTCAGCAGTCCAACCTCACACAGGAGCTACAAGATGAGAAAACTGGTCACCAAGCCCAGATAGATAGTTTGGCCAACGAGCTGTCGGAGGAAAGAGCCAGAAGTGCACAGCTGGAACGGAACCTGACACAAGCATGGCTTCTACAGGAGGCCCAACTGTCGGTAGAGAGAGACAAGAACAGGGAACTGGCGCTAAATCTGACCCAAGCACTGACCCAACTGGACAACATGACATCAACCAAGGTAGGTGACAAACGGTTTAGGTCTCATCCCTCAATTCACGATGCTCTGATAGTTTCATAGCATTTTGTCCCAAAGTTTTCTCTTTGTATTAGAACATAATATCTTCAGAATTTTTATTGTTTTACTCTGAGCCGACAAAGAGGACAAAAGAGTTTGCAAAAGCAATTGTTTCGAAGCCAAAACCTTTTGTATAGTGCACAACAAGCAGAGAATTAGCAGAGAATTACAGTATAATTGGAAGTGAAATGTAGCCTAGTCCAAACAGCACGTGAATTGAGTAAGTTCACTCTCGGTCAGATACAGAACTATTCATGAATCTCACCTTTCACTGACAAGAATCCTCAAGCTTACATTAAGCACACCTGCCTTGTAACAAAGTATGTAGCTGGTCCAGCGGTCAAAACAATACTATTCATGACGCTTTCGTTTATTCAAATTCTGTAACAACACTAATCTGTGACGGACTAATGTAAAACAAGTGAGAATAGTACTTTTTGGTATACCTAGTATTAGGCAGCAGTGGGCTTGAAAAGAAATAGTTTTGGTCCCCTTGAACACCGTAGCTGGAATGTTGTTGGCTCACCAGTGGTCAAACAATAGTATTTATGACGCTTTTGTTTATTCTGGCCTGAACCATGAACAGCACCTTTGGCAAGACGGGTTGACGGGTAGTTGTTAAGCACACCTGTCCCACAACATCGCACATTAAGGCTCACCAAGGGTCAAAATCAGAACTATTCGTGAACCAGGGTCAAAATCAGATCTCTACTGAACATAGAACAATCCCCGAGCATAGTAAAGCATACCTGCCCGACAAAACCTCACTTGGTATTCCTTTTAAGGTTTACAACGGTTAAATATCGTAATTCAGTATCAGGTATCTCACATGAACTGGGCCCAACAATGCCCAAACATACCTTAAACACAGTTGCCTTATAACACAACCATCATCACCAACGTTCTCTAGAAGTCTACTGACCTTGGGCTACCTTCGATCAACAACTGTGGTCACGTGGCTGAAGTAGTGGGTCATTCATACTGCACATGGCCGCAGAAACAAACTAACTCTTGTCGAATCGAATGCTTACTGCTTCACAAACGCAAACCCGAGTTCCTACAAGACTCTAGCATTTCACAAGAATTGCTATAGGTATTCGTATTTCCCAAGGACTGTAACAGACTGGAACGAGCTTCCGCAGGCCCTACCAGAAATACCAGAGGCCGACAAGTTTAAGGAAGCTGTTCTCCTACACTTGAGGAGTATCTAGAGCGCACTCCCCCCCCCCCCTGCGTGTTTGACCCCAACTGAGGGATGTTACGCAGTACTGCATCAAGATGAAAAAGAAGAACATAGTCATAGATATATATATAGTAACATATAACTTTTCTCACCATGCCTTTCAGTGCCCCTGTGAGAGACAAGGTGGGAACATTTACCCCACACAGCCAGTACCCACAGCGTCAGACTGCGCAGAACTCTATGCGGCAGGACAGACTACAAGCGGAGTGTACAACATCAGACTCGGCTCCTCTGATGTACAGACCTACTGTGACATGGATACTGCAGGTAGGTTAACTGTATAAGACGTCATGGAAATCTGTTCAAATTTCTTTTATTTCAATTAGTTTGTGTCGGAGGTAGGAAAGTAAGACTATAAACCTTGATTTTTTTTATAGTGGATTTTCAGGAATAAGTGTTGTGTTTATTGTTAAGGTACTGTATCTGATTGAAGTAATAATATTATACCGTTTTCCTTCTGCTGCCTTCCACACAGGGGGTGGCTGGACCGTGATCCAACGGCGGCAGGACGGGTCGGTTCCCTTCAACCGGACCTGGGAGGAGTACAAGCACGGGTTTGGGAACAAGAGCGGGGAATACTGGCTTGGGAACGAGAACATCCACCTCCTGACCAGTCAAAAGAACTACACCCTCAGGGTGGATCTCGAGGATTGGGACGGAGAAACCCGGTACGCAACGTATGACATCTTCAGGTGAGTAAAACACCCACAGGTAAAGTATTGTCAACTGCATACACATTAAAACATCAGTCAGTCAGAGTGCTTTTATCCGAGGGAACTTTCTATTGCAGCATAGACGATGTCAATCAGTACGTGTGACTGTGTTCGTATATATATATATATATATATATATATATATATATATATATATATATGTGTGTGTGTGTGTGTGTGTGTGTGTGTGTGTGTGTGTGTGTGTGTATGGAGGTATATATAGTATATATGTATGAGAGTGTGTATGTGTATGTGTATGCGCAATTAATTCGTTAATGTATGCCTACTTATCGATGTACGTGCTACAAAGTATGTGAGCGCCATTATTAAGTTTATATCATATTTCCATCCAGGGTGTCCGGTGAGTCGGACCAGTACCGGCTGCACATTTCCGGGTATTCAGGCGACGCGGGAGACTCCATGACGGGCAGCGCTTCCAACAACGGGCACAGGTTCTCCACTGTGGACAGGGATAACGATGTCTACAGCCACGCCTCCTGTTCTCAGCACCGCGGACAGGCCGGCTGGTGGTTCGGGCACTGCAGCTACTCCTACCTCAACGGCCGCTACCTAGGCAACTGTGGGAACTCCTGTTCATACAGGCAAGGTGTGGTGTGGTACCACTGGAGAGGCTGGCGTTACTCCCTGAAGTCTGTGTCTATGAAGATCAGGCCATGAACAACACGCGTACGGTATGGCATTAACACATGACCTGTTTTGCATTTTCAATGAATTCATTAACCACTAAAGTTTAAGAAAAACAATCATCAAATACGATATCTGATTCACCACAAGTTGCCAATCAAATATGATTGGGTCATAAACGACAATTGCCTATACTGCCCACGTGATATCTGTTGGCAGTCAAGCAAAACAACATTTCTATGGGTTCATAAATCACAAAATTTGTATTAAATATCTGATTATATCCTTTTTGTTCAGATGAAAATAACTTTCACACCAGGTTAACATTAATAAAATCCTATCATGTGTTTCTTGTAAGATGTAAAATTCAACGATACATTCATCCAGCATACCTGCTCAAAACAAGCCTTTTAAATTTGTAAGATTTTTACTGGTTCTTTCTTTTCTATTTTTTATTGTAACGTTTGGTTACATTTTATCTAGTTTGGAACTGGAAAAAATTACTAGTAATCGAAACGAATATAACAGAAAGAAAATACATAACCTTAACACTAATTAGATGACAACCTTTACTGTTGTATTTTGCAATTATTGGTAATGGTACATGTCATTACTTAGGTAAATGTAGTCAGCTGGTGATAGGTATTATAATAGAAAAAGCTGCAAGGAAAGCTGTGGAGAATTTTGTGATAGGTATTATAATAGTAAAAGCTGTGGTGATTTTTGTCTTTACATAATAAGTGATAGGTGTATGTAATCATCTATTAGTAAGAAATTATAGACTTTTATCCGAGGGTACCTAGAAAACTAGTCACGAAAATTCTACTAATATATATTACTAATGGAGTTCCTAAAACATATGTATATATCTATATCTATATCTATCTATATATCTATATCTATCTATATATATATATCTATCTATATCTATATATATCTAAATA